CCCGACGTTTTATACGAATTAGTGAAAGTCGAAAAATCTCCGGTGCCGGTAAAATAGTGATAATCTATGCTTAAGATGGTCGTTATTGAACTCGAACAGTTGTTATGCCACCAGCAGCTGATCGAATCTAAGTTGGTATTGGTTCGAAAATCGATGTCGACACAGACAACTTGCCACACGTATCAACTCAACGAGCAATCTCAATGGCGTTAATCAGGAAACATTCACCTTTGGACTTCGAAACTCTATTGGACTAGCGTTTCATCCGATGAGTAAGTATTTTTATGTTGCCTGTCAAGAGTGGGATGTCCTAGATGATGATCTCGTACCGGATTTCGTTACTGGCGCTTAACAAAATGAGTTCTATGGATAACCTTATAGCTACACAAAGTCGAACTTCATTGAACCAAAACAACGTCTATCTCATGGCATAAGTGACCGGCCCAATCTTCTCTCACAAGCACTGCAAGCTCTCTTTCGAGGTCATTCAACTGTTATAGGTACATCATTTTAGCACAGGAAAACTATTTTGGTCTGGGTGGAATATGGGTATGTGGGGTTTGGGTGAAAATACGAGCCTCTGAGGTGTGGGTTTGTGTGTTGGTATTCAAGTTCTTATAACATCTGCAAACTACACCCACATCTTCAATAATGAAATAGAAAAATTGAATTGTTGTTTTTATTAGGTAACATGAAAAACTGGTCAATCCTTGGTTCCATGCTTTCAACATATCTTATTAAAACAGATTAGATAACAGTGAAAACTATTTTATCCTTTGTTAGAATTTTTATAGTTAGAAATATGATAACGAATCTAGCAGTTTCGTTTAAACACTTGAAATTCCAATAGTAATGGCAAAGATAATTCAGAAACCTAATAGTTGTAGGGCAGCCTCAACCGGAAACCTTGTGTACGCAAGATATGACCTTTTGTAAACCATGATTTTGATAGAATCTAAATTATGATGACTTTATTCGCGACTAAGAATTGCCCATAGTGAGTCCTTCCCAACGATTCCAAGTAGCTGTTGATCTTGTATTTTGGCATGTAGTGGAATACTGGAAAAAAATTCATTCGTGTAGTTTCCAAGATATTTGCTTTTAACTTCTATAATTTTTTCATGAATCAGAGATCCGTTTCGGCAATAAAAATAAATATTATAGATAGACAAAGCTGTATAAATAACACATATGATAACAGATACAGCAATGATACCTTTATTGTTCTTGCTCGTTAGTTTGCATGCTACTATGACTCCAAAAGTGACTACAATAATAAAACGGTATAGAAAGAAATGGCCTTCACGCATCTTCTTTTTCGATGCGACACCTTCCACTGACTCTCAGTTCTTAGCAGCAAAGTTATACTTCGCCGGATAAGTATTTCGTACCCAAGCAAGCCGACCAGTAACAACTGGAGTATCAGCACTGACTTCGACATTCACTTGTCGATGGTTGATGACCACATGTGAATTCTCTTGGCTTACAGCATTATTATCATTTTCAATGACTGAAATTTGGACATCATTAGGTTGTGCAGCACGTGCGTCAGAAGACATTTTGTTACTGATACTTATGTAGTTCTGTTGCAGTCTAGAGCATTATCTTATCTATTCGTAAATGTGGTCTCTGATACTTAATAGAAAAAAATATTTCGCCGAAAACACAATGACAATTATATACTGAGTCGACAGATCTGAATAGCTCGTGTTGTGGTGTGGTTATGGATATCTAAGTGTTAGGAAAAAAAATACCGATTCCCACACGCACATCCAGTTATTGAAAATTTGGAGGCATTGTACAATCACGGACATGATGGCTCTAACAACAATAAAAACATTCGTTTTTACGTTTGTAGTAGCAATCATTTGTTCGATGATTTTGTCGATCACAAACTTTGCAATAAATCATTGGCTGTTGCAATGTTGATTGATTATTAACATATTTATTTATAAGTATTCTTTGCAGTGAATTATTATGAATTTTCTGATAAGGCATATATGGTAACTTAATTTCGAGCTGATGCTTCGAGTTTCCGTTAATCACGGATCTCTAAGTTAACAATGTACATGCTGAAAATTTATTTTGTTTCATAGGTTGAAATTGTTTGTTTTGTTGTTTAATCGTGGTTGTGATTGAAGAAATCAATTGATGATTAACTGAATGGTTTGGCTCTTTAGATTGAAGCGATAATTGCAGAGATTTTGAGAAAATGTCATGTGAATTTTGTCGCAGTTTCGCATATTTTAAAAATTTAATGAATGTCTGTAAACATGATTCATGTCGAGAAATTTCTTTTCAAAAATCAGAATTAATACTACTCATCAGATGTTGAATAGTGATTGAATCTGACATAGTTGGATGAGTTTCACGACATACATTAGTGACATCATTAATAAAAGAAGTAACTGGTTCATAATGTAACTATTGTCGTTGTTTTAATTGATCAGCTTTTTTTTATGAATCAATGTCGTTGAAAAGTAACGATTTCGAAATTATATTTCAAAATCTGACCTTCTTTTAAAATCATGTTCATTATTATTGAACCTTAGTCCTGCTGACTGTGTTAATCTACCACGGACAATTTCCAAAATTTCATGATTGTCGGATTTATCATTCGCTTTTGTAATGTTTTTAATACTTTTAAAAAAATGTTCGCCATCCTCTGAAGAATGTCCCAAGAAGTTTGGTAAGTCGTTGAATCTAGTTTTTCGAGCTTTCGCTAATGATGTTGAACCGGTCATTGTATTTGAACCTAATGTTTGAATAAGAATTGTATTAATTTGTGGTAATATGCGAGATGATAAATTAATGATAGTTGTATATAGCAATAAGTTTTGATTGTTAATCTTAATTTGAGATCTTGTTCCAGTCGCCGTGATAAACGTATTTTAATAATCATAGCTAATATTGGAATAATGAATTTGTAAGGAGTTAGTGCATTGTGAGCATTAATAAAATGAGCGAAACTCTTTTTTTGTCGTTTTTTTTGAAATTTTTGTTTAGAATTGTGAATACAGTTATAAATAATTATAGAAATAGCGTTAATCTGATATTTTCCCTTATTTTAAGTTAGAATTTACTCAGAAAGAGAAAAAAGTACTCACTCAATTTTATGTATGAAAATCCAAAAGAAGCGATTTACTTCAGAGTATATCCTAGATTGAGTAGAGGCGTAATAATAAATCAAAGATAGAAATAATTTGCTCACCTAATGATGCAAAATAATATATTGATATATTTCATGAAAATGAATATGTAAATGAATTTTCAGGATAGATATCGAGTCTTTTGTTTTTAAAAAGCACTGCTTGTTGTTGGTTCCAAGTCTCTACAGAACAGATTTTGATACTGCATGAACGTATTCCAGTCTCAATGAATAGAGGCTCTGTAAAGTATAAAAATATAATTAAGTTTAATCATTTAATGTTTGCTCATGTTTTCTATTGATGCTGTTTTGCAGAGTTACTAAATGTTAGATGTTTTTCAATTAAATTCCTTCTCTTTCTTTTGTTTACATGTTTACGTACTGATGTTGGTGCACACTTCTTTATGATATTCCCTTATTAAATCATATATGTATATATAGATATGAGAATAGTACAAGGAAAACAATGCATCAATAGAGAAGATCAAAGAACATGGAAGAAAATAGAGGATGATATTAAAGAAGTGATTGTGACATAGAACACTCAAACCTCTTTAGCCAACGACTCTAACATCATTATTATTTTAGTTTCAAATAGAATAAAACAAGGTATCCCGTCTATTTTATCGATTGAAAGAAAACACTGCAATATTGTCTGTTATTCTCGGGATCGCTTCATAAATATTATTATTTTATGTATTATGGTGTTGCTTGTTGGTTTCAATATAAAATAAGGATGCATGCAAAACGAAAATAGAGGTTCTTTCTGTGTCGGTGGCATGTTTTTCTCTTAAAGCATAATATTTCAATTTAAAAAGTAAATAACTAGACTTTTTCAAGACTGTCCATGATTTCAGGGCACGGCAGTGTTTTCACTGAATTTTTTTTGTCGAAGCGTGACCGATAGTATCGTCATTGTTATTGTAGAAGAGTAGAGGAGAATCATGAATTGAAATCAATTGAATTACGAAAGAGGTAAAATTATAAGAAAAATGAGTATTTCAGAAAACAAATGTCAAGGTAATATGTGTCCAGTTTAGTTAGGCCTTGTAAGTTATTTTTAAGTAAGGCAATGCTTGTACATAGCGGTAAACAATATATTCAAGATATTGAAATGCAGTTCCTCGGACTGAATGAAAACCTTTTGGTGCTGAAGTTAAGTTGTTGTTGGCTTGATTCATTATTGATTCGTTGCCTAATACGACTTTACTGTAAAAAATAACTCTCGTTTGATTGGTTGGATTTGCGGCTGTAAAACTGTTAGATTTTTTGGGTTATCAGCAAAATATGCGCCATGGCCTAAAAAAATAACAATGTATGAAATCATCTAATGAATCAACCCATCGCATCATATTTGTATATATCAATACTTGAAGTTCTTAAAATCTTCTTAAATCTGTAACTTTAACGCATTGTTTGAATGTTTTGAAGTTCTGAAAGTAGCAATTTTGTTTTTAAATTCATACTATTCTGCTTAATAAATCTCTTTCGTTGTCGTGAAGAACATATTGTAGAAGTCAAGCAACAATGTTCCTACTCATTGCTGATCACTTCTAATCAATGATTTCGATTCATCAGAATGAATTTTCTTGAAAGAAAGACTACGACGAATGATGAACCAAAATTCATTCAATCGATTCACGTGAAAAGTTATTTAAAAGTACACGAAATAGGAAAATTCTGCAATGTATCAAGTCATTTTCAGTGCTGCTCATTACAGAAAACAACTAGAACGGATTATATTATTCGTTTTTTTATGAAAAAATCTAAGATAATTTTACCCCATGCTCCAGTTGAACTGAAAAATCGATCATCAAAACCATCTTCTATTATACCATTGATTGCGTCACCTTTAGTGCCAATAGAGTTTCTTTTCGTTTGGATTTCCTTTACATTGCCTTGCGATAATTTTCTTCATCGCTTCATAAGTATCTTCTAGCAGAGAATTTTTTATTTCATCAATCGATATGATTGTTACATTGGGCCCGATAGCTTTTATCTTCCCTGACAATGCTTGATGTAAAGTTGATGCTGATGGTATCGGTACTAGCACGGCATTATATTTCACATAAGGTCGTGGTATGTAGTTAGTTGGTTTTCCTACTTGCTTCCATTGACGCTGTATCATTTTCTGAACATGATCATTGACCAAGGGGTCAAGTGGACGAAGAACTTGAAAACATTTATTCTTTATATTTTGAACGATTGTTTCTAGTTCGATTGAATACGGCGATTGTGTTATATCAATACGCATACCTATTTCACGTAGATAATCTTTTTCTAATGAAAGATTACTGACATCGAGATCAATACGATCATGCATCAATGCGACATGTGGTTCAATGAGATCCATCGTAAGCGAACCGGTTGGTGCATTTTCATCTATGAGTAAAATATACCTCCAATCTTCTCGTATCACTTCACATATAATATCGACTTCGTATAATTCATCTCGAAATTTATCAATATCAAAATAGCGGTACAATGGTAGATGACAATCTAAATCCGACGGAACAATTTCTTTAATGATGTGTGGAATCTGCTGACCCTTAGGATTCTGTTTATATTGAATCCAGCTTTTTGGATTGTTCCGACGTTGATGCAGTTCTCTATAATTACCAATGACCCAGTCTCGAACAAATACCCCTTCTAATTTACAATGGACTTTACAAACAGCTATCCAAGCTACAGCTTCCATGCGTGTTTCACGTATTGCATCTCGGCCTTTGACACAATTATAGAGGTCAACCATCGTTTTTTGACTATCAGTTATACGTGCGATTTTCTTTTCGATGTCAGGATACTCTTTGCGCATCTTAGGATGTAGAAGACGTGGCAAAACGCCTGAAGTAATGAAAAAACAAGCAGTTAAATGCAATCCATCAATATTATGTTAATAATAATAAATTTTTGATCATTATCGGATTATTGAAATAATCATTCATAATTAAGGAGTCTTCTTAAAGAGTTTGGTAATAATTTAAGTATAAGTAGAAAAAAATAGAGAAAAAAGATAAGTAATGCCAATCTGACACTAACGAACTCAAGTCATAGTTTAGCATAAAGAGTTGAGATTTTGTGAGAGGACAACTTCATAATTTCTCTCAAATAGGATCAACGAGCTCTTTAGTACCTGTTGACGAAACTCGGAGGTTTATAATACGAGAACTTCATCATGAAAAAGAAACAATTTTTGAGAATGAATTCATGAACAAAACTTCAACATAAATGGAATGACAATTAAACTAATCGAATCATTTTCAAAAGATAACTGTTTTATTTTGTCAAATAGAATTGACAATGGTTTTTGGAATAAATAGCGAGGAAATTGAGGCAGCATCTTATCCTCTTCATAGACTTTGAAAGATATTTTAGTCACTAACAGTACTCGACACTACTTCTTCCACATTGCTATAAATCTTGATGAAGAGTACTTCTCCCACGTTCGTTCTTTTTAGACCATTTCTTGTTCTCGAAGACGGCATGATCGATGAAGCTGAATCTTTCACCATAGACCGAGCACAAAAACTAATGAGACAAGTGTTCGAGGAAAAAATATGCAAAGCGCTTTTTCTCAGGTTTTCTATAGGACTGCAGACTGGTTCATTACGACCCCTGAATTTTTTCACCAAAATATCTAGGATCATTCCTCAAAGGTAAAATTAAGTTGGGGTGTGGGTGTGTGAGTGTGGGTGTGGGTGGGCGTAGATGAAGAGATACCATACACCCACACCCACACCCACCCCCACCCCCACCCACACCCACACCACACACCCACACAAACCCACACCCACACCCACACCCACACCCACTCACATCCACACCCACGCCCACACCCACATACCCACACCCACACCACCCACCCTCGAACTTCAAACAACGTCAAACAAATTTTCGGTATGATTTCTTTTTATTTGTGCAGTATTTATTTGAAAAAAATATATCAAAATTCATTTTGTTATTTACTTTCATCAACGCAGCTTCGGAAATTTCAATGAAGTGCGCCAATAAGTTCGAACCAATAATTCAATTCTCTTTGTCAAATAATAGAGTAATCAATCTTGTATGAATAGCATTCGAAACTATGAAACCTTTGCATGCCATCAAGCATACTTTCTTTTATTTGTCCGAACAACACATGCAATAATTAAGTTTGAAGATTGGTGTAGGTTGCTTTGTTAGTGTATGAAATAAGCAAGTTACAGGCATGCAGTTTGTAGAAGAAACAATCTAGAAAGTTTGTCTTGAAAGATATAGAAAATTGCATTGATGAAAGTTGCAGATAAAACACATGCAAAGATAACTGACGGTAAGCGTTCTTCATAATTCTTTCCTGAGATAATGACAGAATCTAGGTGGTCAACTATCATCGAAATCTCGCATTGTCAAATTATTTCATCATCGATCACATAAAATATCGACGGTATACATCCCATCCAACACTATCATTCCTATAACTACTGGATCATCGAATAGGCCAAGTATCATAAGCAATCGAATTCGACCAATAATCACTGACAATTCAAATGAACGATCAAAAAATAAAAGATATTCAATCAGTGTGAATAAAATTAAACGCTCTGTCCATTCATATCCGCAAGTAAAACAAATGATGTGTTAATTTTTCGATGTTTTATCGTTTCGATCATAGTCATCTCGGAGTCGATTGAAAAGTGACAACGAAAAAAATCATTCGCAACAACAAAACAATGATTCAACACACATTAATGAAGGAAAGAACACTCCGAAAAAAAATTTAGATAGAATATTCTTATCAGCTAAAAAAGATCAGGATCAAGTGAGTACCCTTGAAGATGATTTCCGTTTAGCGATCATATTTATTTTTCGTAGAATATTATTCGTGATGTGTGGCCAAGTAACAGTCGGAGTTATTTAAAAGCAAATATTCCTTTCATTCTTTTTTTTTCTATCTTATCTTTGTCTCTTGTATGAAAATAGAGTGCCGATAGATGGTCGAGTCGAATGAATTTTAAAAACGAATCTCATGAAGAATTAAATAAAAAAAATAGAAAAAAAAGACAAAAAGGAGCGTAAGTGTTTTCTCATGTACTTTTAATGCATATATGATATTAATGCGGATACTTTTAGTGGTTATCATTGTCGATGTTCACGCTTGTGTATATTTTGTTCCTTATCTGCTACTATTTTGCTTGGTGCAGCTATCGCTGCAGCTCTTATTTCATTTCTGAGCACGCCGAAAACGGCAACAAGTAAGATTCATAATCTTTAACTCGAGAAGAATTAGTTGTTCTTAAACTTTTCATCATGTGTCAACTGATATTGACAATTACTTTTGAACATACATCTACCACCTTAATGATCGAACACAGAAGAGCACATCTTGTTTTGTTTCAATTCCATGAGTTCAGAAAAATTTCGTCGAAACTATTTTCAAGTGCATGAGAGATGTGCACTTTTAAGAAAGAGTGTATATCAAACGTTACGAGACCCCGTTAGTTTTATGAACTCATTTTGATACTAATCTGTGAAATTGAAAAAACCTTCTCCAGTTACTGTTGGTCGCGGCCACGTCGCCGGTCGAAAAGACTCTAGCGCGGTGATCGTTACCCTGCTGTCGTCCTCTGCACTGCCATCGTCTCGTTTTTTGGCGCGGTGTACGTCTCTGAAGCGCATTTTATTACAAGAACAGGCAATATGGATCGAATTTCTAAATGCGCTCTAACAAGAGCCGATTGAAATATTTGTTTTTCGACATCTTTCATTTTTGTCAATCTGAAATGTGTAAAGCAACTATTTGTTTAACGAGGCGTTTATTGAATGCAGTCAGATTTTGAGATCCCTTTCTCAGGTCATGGAATATTAGTGATAGTAGTTGTCTGCCTATAAAATGCGTTTCCCTCTGGGAGAAATTTGTTCTTATAAGTAGAACTTTTTAAGTATTGACATCGACGACGACGATGGATACGACAGGCAATATGACAAATCAGACCACAATAAATAATTCAACAATTCAGACAACAGAGACAACCACCATCAACAGTACGACAACTCAGACAACAACAGTTACAACCACCGCTAGCAGTACGACAACTCAGACAACAACAGATACAACCACCACCAGCAGTACGACAACTCAGACAACAACAGTTACAACTACTGCCAGCACGACGTCTAGTACTATCTCTACCACCACCGACACAACGACCACAACAATGATCACTTGTAAAGTTTTCTTTCTTATTTCTTGATAAAATCATGGCTTATTTACTTATCTTTAGATGCTCCAACTGGTATTTATGCACTGCAAATTTCACCATGTGCTACATGGAACAAAACTGGAATAACGGTAGCTGGCAATTCAAATACAACAGCTGGCAGTGATGGAGCATCTCTCAATGCTCCTGTGGGGATTTTTCTCGATAACAATTACACTCTGTACATTGCCGACCGAGACAACCATCGAATTGTTAAATATGATGTTAATGCAACGACCGGTGTTGTTGTGGCTGGTAATGGAACTCCCGGGAATAGTCCCAGTCAACTGAGATTGCCGAAAGGCGTTGCCGTTGATCAGATGGGTGCCATTATCGTTGCTGACGGAGGAAATTTTCGAATACAACGTTTTCCTTTTGGTTCCACAGTAGCAACGACAGTAGCTATCAATAGTTCAGCAAATTTACTTGGTGATATGCGAGATTTACATATAGATGTTAATAATAATATCTATATAACAGATTCAGATTACAGTCGAGTTGTTAAATTTTATCCAAATAATGAAAATGGTGTTATTCTAGCGGGCAACAGTGGAGCAGGTTCTGCAGCTCATCAGCTTCAGGGCTCATATGGAAATTTTATTGATGGCAATGACACGTTATATGTAGCAGACTCTGGAAATCATCGTGTTCAGATGTGGCCAGCCGGAGCAACAAATGGAACCACTATAGCCGGTATCACAAATACACCTGGTTCAGGTTTATTGAGATTGAAGAGCCCCATGCAGATTATTGTCGATAATAATGGGTATGCAATTGAGAAGTCGAAATTAAATTAGGATAAAATAACTACTTAGGTCTGACCAAAAGTTCCCAGAGCATTAAATAAAAATATAAAGATAAGGAGATATTTTTAATTTTATTTTATCAAATGTTGAGGATAGTTGCCATTATTATTCATACCAAGTTCGATCCTTTCTAACAATTTGTTAAAAGTTTTTTTGAAATCTTTTTCGAAAAAATTTTTATGTACCTTGGATACCGCATGAGCTAATTATATTTCATTTGTTTTAAAAATTTAGCAAAATTTTGTTCGATCATGTCAGTTGCGTTCTAGTACTACTAGTGATAGGATATGGATTTATTTTAGATAGGTTAGTCATAAGTCATCTCATGCTAGCTGGCTTATTGAAGATGAATCGTCAAAGACTATTGTTCATGAACACAGATTTTAACCAAAACTTTGTCCGGTATATTCTTTAAATCAAATACTCCTGAGTGTAGATAAAGGCAAGACTGTAAGTCACTAGTATTATATTGAAAATTCTCCGAAGTCTTTTATTAATGAAATATGTAAACAAACATAGACATCAGGTTCAAAATGTATAAAATTGCTTAACGATCATTGTTGACCTCATACTCATCCAATGTTATTAATTATATGAAAGAAGAAGACATCATTATAATACCATATCTACCATATTCGCCAGGCTTGATACTATGTAATTTTGGCTAACTAATTCTATCGAACGTAGTTTAACTGATTAAATAAATGAAACATGATTAGCTCATGCGGTATCCAAGGTATCTAAAAATTTTTTCGAAAGAGACTTCAAAAAAACTTTTAACAAATTGTTAGAAAGGATCGAACTTGATATAAATAATAATGGCAACTATCCTCAACATTTGATAAAATAAAATTAAAAATATCTCCTTATCTTTATATTTTTATTTAATGTTCTGGGAAATTTTGGTCAGACCTAAGTAATACATTCAAATTTGCCTATCAGACAGTTACTCGCGGTATTTTCATTTGTTGTCATTGTAAGAAATGAAAATAAGAACGCGTCGAAAGAGAATGAGGGTTGAATCTTGACGATAAGAATATAAAAGTGAAATGACTTTTGTTCGAGAACAGATATGATGAACTATCGAGTATTACGTACTCTCATTCTAACTTTGTATATGCATCAGATGGATGTAATACTATTGTTTGAAAGTTGATATCTTAAATTCAGTATAAACTAATTAAATTATCCGTTTTAATCTTGATGATTTCTATATATTTCATAGATACTATTATATAGCCGATTCCGGAAATAACCGAATTGTTAAATGGACTAGTAACTATGCAGCAGGTGGTACGTGTATTGCTGGTTGTACTGGTTCAGTAGGAAATGCATCAAACCAATTAAATACTCCACGAGATTTAAAATTTGATGCAAGTGGAAATTTGTATGTTAGTGATCGAGATAATAACAGAGTTCAAAAGTTTATGCTTGAAATACAAGCAAATTGTTCTATTAGTAAGTAGAATCTTTAGAAAAATTTTTGAAGTTTTTCAGAGAAATGTATATTTGTTTCGATTTAGGTGGTTAATCACAATGACAATAACAACTTGAAATATTGAACAAAAGTGTCTTTTATTTACTAACTATCGATATCGAACTAGACAGTGTATTTGAATTTTTTTTTCACTTATTTAGTGTTTTTAAAAATATATTTGAAAGAAGTCTCTTAAAGTGCTGAAGAATGTGTACAAGTAGTCATTTATCCAATTATACTCTTCCGAATAATGAAGAAGTTCATGCAAACATATGCAATTCAGATGGTATTAATGTTTCCTCTGTTGTGACCGATTCGATAAATGTTTGAGTGATGATTATATCAACGTAGCATATTTGGATCTTAAAATGTCTAATTACAGTTGTACAAGGCATGCAGATATATATCTTCACAGATGAGAGTGTTAGTAGTTTATTCTTTCCGACACGTGAATGCGTACATGTCAGGCAGAGAAGTCTGGCATACCCTATATTTATTTCTCATTACTCATCCTATTTCAAAAATGAACCAAGCATCCGATATGGCAGCTTTATAAACGGAATGAATTCTAAAAGACGGTGTCTACTTATTTACAGAAGACATACAAGTGCACAAGTTCAATAGATTATCAAGTCATGTTCTCAAAATACGCCAGTCTTTCTCTCTGTCTTGTCGTTCAATAAGTCAATGTGCGTGTCTTCTCCGAAACTAAGACACTCAGCTTTGCAGGTAGGAAAAGAAAGACACAATTATCATAAAAACTGAGCCGAGAGAACTTAATCCTGTGCCTTAATTACCAGGGCCGTCATAACATTGCCTAAAATATTACAATACGTGTAGATGATGATGTCTTTTATTTGAAAGAAAGATAATTTCAAACATACTGACAATGAGATGATTTGACACCTAGGAAAATGTCTTTTATTGTCTGAGCTATTCAATTAGAAACTGGGAATAATCTGTCTCATCATGATCATCTTCGATTACAATGCATTTTTGATCGTCTCTCTTCCTGTTTAATACTGAAGTTGATGAAGGGTAATTTTGTGATTCATTCGTATGCAAACCTGACTTCGCTTGACAATACGATTGAGTGATACTTTGATTAGCTATATAAGAAAGTAAATTTTAACAACTAATTTCGGTTTTCTATCTCTTGCACGGTGAAATCAAATTGAGAAAATTGCACTTTAAAGACTGTCTAGTTCTTCTTCGCCGAAAGTGTTCCTCACTCCTTTGTTTCTAGCCATTAATGTAGACTTCACTAGCAGATCAAGCATGCTATAAAAACTAAAGCACAGGAAATTTTTGATCTATACTTCTTGTTACACATTCTGAATCTACATTAAAAACTGGGATTATGAAATATTTAAGTAGATCAACGGCATCAAAAAAATTTTCAGCATAAACAAAATTATCAGAATATAGTTTAGCATAATGAATAACATCAAGTCCACCTATTGAAAGACCTTGTTTTTTAGCAACTGTTTGTAAATTTAGATCAATTCAAAGTACTGATTGTTCCATATGATATGTACGTCAACGTTCTGGAATAGTATTGCGAGGAATAATCCAATTCGTATAGAATCCAAATGGATCACTATCAAGCATAACTGTAATTAATGATTCATTATCCCAAATATGTTGGGCTGCACCAGCTGTTGTCTAATCTGTAGCACCACCATATGTATCATGCAATAAGTAAAAAATGGAATAACGATGACTATTACCACTAGTTGCATAATCAGGTAGAACAAGTAACCGAATTGTTTGATAACCATGCACTTCATCTGATAATACAACTACTTCATACAGTGGATTAGTGAGTTAAGCAGAAGAACGCACCGTAAGACCAAAGCCGTAAACGAGATCAAGTGCATCACCAATGGTGTAATCAATCAAATTACATGGAACGAGAGCTAGTTCGACGAGAAAGTAGCTATATCTCATGATTATATTTCTATTTGACAAGCTAATTTTATATATACACTCTATAGCAGATGGCATCGCTCTCACAGATTCTCAAATACTATTCGAATCTCTCATCGACAGTCAGTATTCATAAGCTACTCAAATTAGTGTGCTATTTTGAGACCATGTTCATGTTGAATCAAAATAATCGATTCATCGCATCACGAATATCGGTTTAAGATTGATTTGCAATATTATATGTATTTAAAATAATAAAACAAACACACTCGAGACCTTTTTATTAATAAAAAGAGAAAAATAAAAGTGTTTTTTGAATTGATAAATGGTTCATATTTAGCTATATATTTGAAAAGAAATATTTAACAAAAATATTTTCCTTCTCATCCATAATGATATAATAATCTCATGCCACTACCATTTCATAAATTGATTATTCTATTAAAATATATATAAAATTTAAAATACAACAATAAACTATTGCATACATACAAAAGATATAACTTGTGTATGTTGTGGTTGAACAAATTGTCATCGTCTGGATTGTTTATCAGCATTAGATAATATTGCTTTAACTTGTTGAGCTTCCATCTTTCTTGGCTGAGCGAAATTATAAGCCACCATATCAAATAAAACACGATTCTTGTGATCATTTAATTTTTGATGAAGCTTTTGAAATTGTCGGTTATAATGAATGCTAAAAATCGTTTGTCTAAATTTTGATCAATTGCCAAATTTTTCTAGATAGTCTAGACATTCCTTAAGAAAATCAATTAAACCAAGTATTGGTATTATCAACGTGGCAGTGAATCGTGTAGTCTCAACGATATATAGTAGCTCCATCACAACTTGTTTAACATGTTGATCTAATTGATCACAGAGTTCTTTATTTGATTTGACAGCTTTAGCAGTTTGATGAATCATTTTAAGCGAGCTAATAAGAGTCTCCACTAATGTAGGACCAACATTTAGTGCACTAATTATTTTTCGATCCTCCATTTTCTGTATTTGTGTATTTATCAGTACTCACGAAGTAAAAAGCTTGAATATATATTTCTTAGAAAAGCGAATGAAACTACTCTCGCTTCGAAACATTTACAGTCCATTATATTGTCAGTGAAAAAGGAACAACGTTTTTTCTTTCATTGATGTACACATTCAAACCCAATAGAAGTCACACATTATTATTTCGATACAAATTAGAGATTACACCTGTTACACCGAATTAGCGAATGAAAAGACAGCAGCATGATCTCTTTTTACCAAGATGAACGTTTTTTTTTGAAGAGGGTCACACATTATTGCTTCTCCGATAAATTGAAAAACTATAGAAAATTAGCTATAAGATGTGGGTGTTAGAGACCTGCGGAGGACTCCGAAACCCGATTCCGACTCCGACTTCGACTCCGTCGGAGTCGGAGTCGGAGTCAGTTACAAGTTCGACTCCGATATTTTTTTTTCGATTTACCAAAACTTAATTTTTAACATTAGTAAATAGAAAAATAAAGCATAATATCTGTCACATAGATTTATATCACTTGTAGGACAGAAAGATGAGCGAATCACTNAAGACACTTTGCCTCCACACCCACACCCTATATGAAATATGTGCTAATAATTCCTTTATTTGATGCTGCTCACTACTTCAAAATGACATCACAACATAAGTAATATTTATTGCTTGCTTTTCTAGTGAAAAGAATTACGTAGTACTTTTCCATTGAAGTATTCAATATAGAAACGAGAACGAATTTCTGATTGGTCCAAAAATCGTTCTGACTTTAAAAGAATACATTCCCTTTCTCGACCTCGAAAAATTCATTTTTTTTGTATCTAAAAAGACATTCAAGTATCCTCCACCGAATGGCATATGAACGAAAAGTTTTTATTGTTATTTATATATCTGAAAATAGTCGACTTTAAAAATCCCAGATACAGAAATTCAGATGCTAGAGCTCTTTCGTGTAGCAAATAATCTATAATAATATAGTTATTTCATTATCGAAATGTATTGTGTGGGCCACTGATGCTTCCTCCTAGTTACTTTGCAAGTGCATTTATTGATATTTATTCATGAAAACTTATAAACTCGAAATATCTAAAATATAATGGCATTTTTTCTCCAAGATGTTTCCACTGATTGAGCTGAAATTTTTCATGTAATAATTAGGACTACATTGAGGTGTATTAATATGGGTGAGATGTGTGTGACACCCTTTTAGAAAAATGTCATTTTGTGTACCTAAATATCTAAGTGCGCTGCCACAAGTGCTCAAGTTTTACGGACGAACTTGAAAGAAAGATGATTTATCAAATTTCTTTCTTATTCTACACTTGCAAACAACGATAAACTAAATAGATCGGATGTATTAGATGATATGCATTTGATATAATTAGAGATGACACTTTATCTTTACTTTACTGAGTAAAGTAAAGTTGGGTTACTTTACTTTACTGGATAAAGTAAAGTAACCGTACTTTACCCGAAAAGTAAAGTAAACTAAAGTTAAGTAAAGTGAAGTGTCTCTTATTTTACAGAAAAAGTTAGATGAAGTAATATAAGATTAAAATAAAGCATGTAGTTGATGATTATTCGTTTATTAGTTCATTATCACACATTAAGCACATTCTAATACGTCAAAAGTTGCTTCGAAATACGGACCGATAGTCCCGAATAATCTGAAACTATTTTTAATATCTTGAGAATCAGCATTGAGCCCTCACAATTTTTCAAAACTTTATGTTCTACTTTATCACAAATCAATTTTTCATACCTGAGGTTCCATTGAGGTGTCGAAAAATAAAGTTGTATCACTGTCCTACTACAAATCTTTATAATTCGATAGTATCAAGCGAACTAATTACAAATATTTCATTTGTTGTCAAAAGTACTTAGGTAATAAGAAAGACAGAAAGGATTTCCTGAAAATCTTAAAAAACTAGCTTTTGACAAGAAACTTCATTAAAATAGGGCTTTGTTTCGTCGACAACAGATTAATTTGACACAGAATTCTTGTCGCTACCAGCAGCTATGAGAAAATGTTGAATATTCGATTCATTCTATGGATGATTGGCAAATACTGCCCCGATTAGGTTTGATTATCTCTCATAATATTTTGTCAGCGTTACAAAATCAGAGTTTCTACAGGTGTCGTGGTAAGATTTCTTTACCAAGAGTGCAACTAAATGTGCTGTTTTTAGTGACAATGTTTTCCACGTGAAAATTCATATCTCGTAAAGTACTTTTGCTCACAATCCTATTCTTGAGACTTTCTTTGCCCCTTCCCCCTTTTTGACTAATATTTTATGGTTTTTGAATAGAAAAATCCCATTTGACTCCACAAAAGTGTCACATCTGAATTTAAGACAGAAAACTAAGTAGGCCTCTGTGGACAGAGATGCCCACTGGGTTGGGTTGATATGAGTACCTTTTGGTTTAGGGCTTCCATTGGTTAGCCCTAACCCAGACCGGTGGCTTGATGAGACCAATTACAATGGCAGACAAAAGTTGCCCTCCCCCTCACAAAGTTATATTATATTCCATAATTTCGAACTGATATTTTGCGGGAATGTCGGCCTCATTGAACCCTGATCGTAAGCACCACCACGCCCTCAATTGATTGACTTTTACTGAAGATCTCACTTGTATATCGTCATCACCTTATCAAGATCATATCTCGATCATTTTTGACATTCACTTTCTCGCAACTCGTCATTCAAAAGCTCAGGGATGCAGATACCATTAGTAAAAATTTTAGTGGGAAATAGAGAAGATCCGAAGCTCGCACTGAAAACTTCTGCCAAGTAGAGAATCTTTTTTCAGTTTAGAATCGATAAATTGAGCTAGAATTGATCAATACAAATTAAGTTTCAGCAATGACTAATCATCGATCCTCAAGTTTGTAATAAAATATTCAGAGCTGTAGCTCTATGCAGAGCTGAGAAAGCCATTGGAAGATTTTCCATGCCACAGCGTGTCTACCAATGAAGCTACGGTATTAGGCGGTGAGCTTTGAACCCAAGCAACTAGGTATGCACGGGGACAACTAGCACCAAAAAAACTCAAAACTTCATTTTAGGAAGCCGAAACTGTGAACTAAAGCTTTT